CTGGCAAAACATGCTAATGAGCCTTTCTTTGAAGGACCAAACCAGACCCTTCGAAGGCTATAGCTTCCACAGTTCCTCCCATCCCCTGTAGGGTCTAGGGCTGACCGAGTCCATCACCACTTCCTGTCAGCTGCAGTATCATTCTGTTGTCTGACAGAATTCACTGCTTTAAATACTTTCTTTCTTGAGATACATAATCTTCTGAGGTTTCCAGGATGTATTTGGCTCAAGGTCCCAAACAACTGTTTGACACATTGCAGAATGTTTGATTGCTCCTCAAGAGAATAAAAAGTGTATTCAGTAAAGACTATTTCCCTCCTGCTCCATGCCACCCCAATGGCTGCTTTAGGCAGAATGTCAGCCCTCTTTAAAAATATTTTTCATGACAACATTCTCTTTAAAAAATTACATCTGGTCCTTGGCCAGTTGGAGATTTGATATAACCAAAGATCTTAATCCAAGTAGATATCTAACTTCACCGAAAACAGAGGGCAAAGCAGGGGCAAGGATGCTGTTTGTATTCCTACTGTGACATAAAGTCGCACTGTATACATGTGGACTGGCTTCCACAAGAGCTGTGGAACTAGTGTAGCACAATAGAAAACCTGGTTTGAAGAAGAAACAGCTAAACTTTTGGCCTTACAAGATGGAATCCTTCATTTCTGGTATTCTCATGTTTAGCCCCAAAGCAGGATTGGCTGACAAATAATGAGGCAGGAGGAAGGGGAGCAAGCTCTGAGAGGAAATGGAGGCTGTGTCTGGCCTCCGACAGTGAGTTCACTGTGAGTCATGTTTTGTCTCCATTTGCTCCAAGCTCCAAACTGCTCCAACAAAACAAATTAAACTTGGGGAAATTACAAACTATAGAAAAATCAGATACTGTCTCCAAAATACCAGGCTGTATTTGGAATTCTTTTAGTAAAACTTGAATCTGTGTGGAAGCTGTTTGGACATTTCAGAATGGTACTCCTGATAAAGGCTACAAAATAGAGTCAAAATGGGGAACAAAATAATCCTTGAAAATATGACAGAGCCAACCCACAAATATGCTTGTGCTTTCAAAGAACTAAACTTTGGGAAGTAACATTAAAAGTAATAGTCTGTATATTAATGCTTTATTAAAATGTAAATTTTCTTATTTGTTTGAAAAATGTAGAACGATTTTTTTTAATTTAGTATTGAATTTGTTTAATATCCTTGACTTCTGCATTTGCGATTCCTATGTACATGTGAGTCGTGTAGCTGTCCAAACACATGAGCACCCAGAGTAGACCCTACTGGTCACAATGAAGAGTTCCAGATTAAATACTACATGTTCCATGCATTTACTTTGGTGTTGGTACTAATAACATTCAAAAGGACCTAAAATTCTAATTTTTTCCAAGGACAAAAGTCATCAAATTAGAAACTTCATGCTTTTCCTTTTGGTCTTGGAAAACAATTCAGGGAACAAATAATTGCCTAATCACTGGATATTTTACACAAAGAGAAGAATATGCTTGCTCTATAGACTTTAGCATAAAACCTAAATGAATAAATGAGTGTGTATCAGCTGATGTATGTTGTAGATCCACAGAAAGAAATCCTATGGGGCAGAAAGATTCACGTTAGAATATGGGTGGATCATGAAAACATCTTACTAAGTAGAAAAGTCTACTCACAAAGGTTCACATATAGATTGTAAATCATAAGAAATACTCAGAGTAGGTAAATACACAAAGAAAGTAAACAGATTAGTGACTATCCGGAGCTGAAGGGTGCAGTCTGGGAAGAAATTAGAGTTACTGTTACTGGGTATAGATTCTCTACAATAATGATCATGCTTTAGAGGCAGGTGTGAAAATAGTTACACAACTTTGGAATATTCTAGTAGTCTATGGATTTGTTCATTCTAATGTAGTAATTTCTCTGGCATGTGGTCATAGCTCAATATAGCTTCTATGTTCAAACAAAACACCTGGGAATAATACTTAACTTTGGCTATAAAGCCTATGGTCCTCAAAGAAGAGTGAGCCCCAGCACTACCTGGATGGGTGCAAATTCAGGCTGCTACATCTCACCATTTTCATCTCTTTATTTCCTAGTCAGACATTTGAGAGTGGCACTGAAGATTTGTATATTGAATGCAGCCACATTTTCCAACTATTGTTAAAAAGCCATCTCCTTCCCTCCCTCCCTCCCTCCCTCCCTCCCTCCCTCCCTCCCTCCCTCCTCTCTCTTTGTCTTTCTCTTATTCTTTTATTCCACCTGTTTGTGTGTATGTGTGTGTGTGTGTGTCTGTGTGTGTGTATAAGGATGGATGGGAGGCCAAAAACAATCTTGATTTCTCAGGACCTACTTTCCTTGTGTTTTAAGACAAAAATCTCTGTTGGATGGGGTTCACCTAAAGGGTGAGGCTGGCTGGTAAAGAATGTCCAGAGCTAAGTGTGAAGTGGAAACTTAAGGGTTCTTTGGAAAGTCGTTTGGATGGTGTTTTGCTGTGGCAAAGAAGTGAAGGAATGTTTTGCTGAAGCATACAGAGGAGAGAGGATGTTCTGTTAAAACAAACACGTGATGAAGGATTCTTTGCTAATGACACACATATATTGGTCTTCCTTGCATAGTTAACCTACATTTGTTGGGACACCATAAAGAAACACACCAAAACTTCTGGTGGTGTGCTGCAGTTTCCTGACATTCCATTCACTCAAGCTGATTGGATGCACATGCTGAGGTAATACCCATGCTGAGGCAAGACACATGGAGGACATGTAGTGTTTGGAGGGTATAAATAGGACTCCACAGAGTGACAGAGACAGAGCTTGGCTTGCTAGTACAGCTAGCTATGTAAAACTTGTGGTTGTCACATCTTCACTGATCTTTGCTTCCCTGAGAAAGGTACAGCTGAGAACTTTTCCTGGTGTCCCTGTTGGTCCCACCTGTTGACTTGAGCCAAGGCTGAGGTCTGGCTGTCTCTGCTAGGTCAATTATATCACTGCTGTTGCTAACCCTACTCTTCCGAACTGGACTGCTGGTGTATCCATGAAGTGTTTGTGAGTGGGTCAAATGGCTGCTCCTAACCTGTGAACTGAACTGCTAATTTCCAGACAACACAGATGGGAGTTGCTCCAAATAACCTTTCTAAACAGGTCCACTTCCCCATATCCTCCTTTCTTTTCCACTGCAAATGGGCTACAAGGAAGGCTAAAGCATTTAAGAACCACAATTAAAAATAGAATTTGAAAAATTAAAGTTATATAAGTGTGTCTGTACCATTCTACCACTGGAATTATAAGTATAGCCTTGGCTTCTCCTGTGTCTAACTTCAAGTGTCTTATCACTACAGTGAAAATATGTTTGTTGTCTTGAGCTTACAACAGCACAAGTCACATAGCAAGCACTCAGTGTTGTGGGTCCTGGGAATAGGTTTTCCAACAAGTCCCCAAGTTGGGGAGTCAGTCTACACCCACACCCTGAATGCTTGTCCAAATGTCCAGTATGTAGTTCTGAGTATCTGAGGAGGTCATACGTGCTCTCTAACTCTTTTCTGATTGTCAAACACCATTGTTGCTCTAGACCAAAAAAATGTGTTTTAGCCAGTTCCTAGTATCTCTTGCTTAAGGTACTCATCTCCATAGGGAGCTAGAGGATTGGTTCTCCATGACATGATCTACATACTAGAGTCATGGGGTCAGGATGTTTCAGGCATGGATGCAAGAACAAAGACTGTGGCATGAACTGCCTCAGCAGAAGTGGGCCAAGACTGGGAAGGACATCTGGCACTGTCTTAGTCAGTGCTCTATTGCTATGAAGAGATTCAGTGACAAGGCAACTATTATGAAATAGACCATTTAATTACAGTTTCAGAGGTTCAGTCCATTATCATCATGGTGGGAAGCATGGTGACATGTAGGCAGACATGGTTCTGGAAAAGGAGCTGAGAGTTCTACATCTGAATCTGCAGGCAGCAAAGAGAGAGAGGCACTAGTCCTAGCCTGAGCAATTGAAACCTAAAAGCTCACCCCCAGTGTTATATATCATCTATCAAGGGAACACCTACACATAGTGCCAATCCCTTGTAACCAAGCATTCAACTATAAGAGCCTATGGGGGTGGACCATTCTTATTGAAGCCATCACAGGCCTCAAACCAGACTTTTTTCTTCAATAGCAAGATGGTCACAGATGTCTCTGGGTATTTGAACCACCACCACTATAAAGAAAAATGCAGACAGCATGGGCTAGTTGAACATAAAAACCTGTAGGCCCCACCAAGCCTGGTCTTTGTCCTAAGTCAGAGTTTTATTACTTGGATTGACACATGTGGAAATAAATATTGAACAAATGAGAAGAGGAAAATCTGTTCATCCACGGCTGTCATAGGAAGGTGGTTAGTTACCATGCCCTCATATGTATCAAGATTCAAAGGTGAACAGAGAAACAGAAACAGTTTATAGAGGAGAAAAGAGGAAGGTTCCAGATGGAGACTCTTTGGCATGGGAAAACAACCAACCAACAAACAAACAAACATGGGCATCCTTTATGATGGACAGGCTTGCTCTGAATGGTATTAAGTTCAAAGGTAAAACAAAAATTGAGGAATTTGTCACTTATTGATCAAATTTTGGCCATTTGGGACTGATAGTTAACAGAACTTACTATGTAGCAACAGATATTTTCACAGGAGACAGGCCAGTCAACTTGACTTAGAAGACGCCACCTTTCAAAGTTATTTATTATAGATAAAGGCTCAGTTCCCTGGGCAAGGGACTACAAGGTTGAGATACAAGTTGTTTTCATATATGGCTTCACCATTGTCTATAATTCAGCCTCTCACAGGCTTAACTTCTCTTTCATTAATAGAAAATGATGTGCTAAATTGAGCTCAGTTATAAGTAAATCTTCATTCTTACATACTAGACTTACGGTTACAAATTCTACATCTACGGGTTGATATTATTGATACTCTCTGCCACTTCCTAGCATGTGAAATGTCTTTGAGGTCTTAAAAGTTTAGAGCTCCCTGCCCCTAAAGGCATTGCAGGTGTGACTGTTATTTCACATGTGTGTCAGTAGATGGCAGAGGAGAGAGTGGCTATGTCTATGCTCAGTATTCTGATCTATGAACTTCTAAATGTTTCTTAGCCTAACACTCTCAGAAAAAGAAGAAAAAGGAGGGGGGAGCCTGAAACAACCACCACTCCAAGTTCCTCCATGCTCTGACTGACTCCCAGGGCAAGGAATGAGTCACAAGTCAAAACCAAAACAAAACAAAACAAAAAGAAAAACAAAAGACAAACAAAAACACAAAACCCACCTTTGATCAAGGGCCCCAGGCAAGAGTGAGCCTAAAATCATCAGCCCACTGCCAGTCTAGCTCCATGGGTCCTGGACAGGGAAGAAGGCTGGGAGGACCACCAGCTGGGTGCCACACAGGCCTGCAGGCACAGACCATGCCTGAGATGATCCCTGCCTAGTGCCGTTGACAGATTCCCTTAAAAAAAAACAAACAAAAACAAAAAACAAAAAAACAAACAAACAAAAAAACCGAAAACCTTAAAATAAAAAAAAGTTTCAGTTTCCCAGAAAAGCAGAATGGGGTTCTCAGAGGAGTTGACAATTGGCTGTTAATCACTGATGGTTCTGTAAGTTTGGAGCTCAGTGAGTTCCTAAAATTTCCCCAAGGTCTCACCAAATATAGTAAAACTAACAAAGCAGCCAATCAGAAACCAAACCATGTAGCTTCCCCAGCGCCAAGCAATGAAGTTTCAGATTACCTAACTCTAGCTAAAATTCCCCTAGTTTTCTATAAAAGGTTTACCTGCCTTTGTCTGGGTCACCATTGGGTTTTCCTTCAGTGATTCTTGGACCCTAGCACCATAATGTACAGGTGGACTCCTGAGATGATCTCAGACACTCAGAGACACCAGGCTCCACTAAGAGAAGAAAGTAAATAGTAGAGAAATGGAAAAGAAAGAGAAAAAGAAGGATGTGGGCACAAGCAGGAGATGCAGAACTGAATAATTAAGAGTAGACAGGAACAGCCTGATATGAGTAACTGGTGATACCACTTGGGTCCATGATGGATTCCTGCACTGTGCTCTTACCAGGAGCCATGTCTAAGTTCCTGGCCCTGCAGCAACAGGGGTCTATCACCACCAAAGACCAGGCAAAAAAAGAAGAAGAAAATACCACCAAAGACCCTGAGCTGCTACCTGGGACATGATCTCTGAGGGTTGTATGGAACAAGCCCCACACATCACCTGAACATCATGGAAGAGCTTGGCCTGGGGGATTGACATCAGGAGAGCTGACTCCACCCCTAGCTGTTGTCTGAAGACCCTGGTTTGTCTGCCCCTAGCTGTAACAATCTTCTCTGTGTAACCTGCTTCCTGAGCACTGCTGGTAATTCCCACTACATACTTCTATCACTTCATTCTAGACACAATTCCTCAAAGAACCCAAGGGATAAAGTATATAATGAGAGATATGCAATTCATAAATAGAGTAATTTGTCCACTTATAATGACTTAATCTTGGGAAATGCATTAGAGGTTTGAACTTAAGATTGTAGCATCAGGGTGGAGGGAATACTAGGTTTAATTTGCTTGAAGTTCCTAACTTACTCCACAAAGCAGGAATGTCAAGGTTATTGTGTTAGTTTGAAGGTCTGGATTTGGCTCTACTAATTTGATTGGTCAACTGAAATATTAAGCCTCAAGGGACCTATATTAAATAGGGTGTTTGAAATATCAGAACTTCTTTAATATACCCTAAGAAAGTTGGCTGTTGGCTTAAAGATCTTAAAAGATAAGAGTGGATATCTCTCCTAGGAAGTATTGGTCCACTCCTTTGCTGTGTGGCAATGAGAGTGAACAGGAAATTCTTTTCTCTGCTATTTTGAGAAATAAATTTCTGGAGAAGTCCAAGCATCTTGGGTGGGTTAGTGGATCTTTTTTGTGGGTCTGGAATCATCAGACCTGTAAAGGATGAGTCAGCTGGAAGATGAAGTGGCCAAATCTTCATGGCCTTGGTCCTACTTTATCTTTTCTTTCTCAGCCCATAGCCATATCTTTATGAGAATTTCTTATGACTTTTTCAGGAAAGAAAAAAAAACTGGCTTCAACATATGCATGGTCCTATGTGACATGTAGGCACCACCCAAAGGCTTAGCTGTGTCACACAGTCCTATACTAGAGGTCTCTAAATAGAGGCAAGAGAAATCTCCACTTACGAACAGAGCTTTAAGAAGTGCATTTGCAGAAGCAGTGGTGCTAGCAATTAATGTAATTAAAGCTGTTATACTAGCAACAATCAAGCCCACTACCCTCTTGCTTCTGCTTAAAGCCTACCTCACTTCTGCCAGCACTTGCAAGCTTTTTTCAGAAAACCAATGTTCTGTAATACTCAGGGCAATAAAACAAAACCTGATTGGTAGACCCTCATAACAGCCATGCCAGGTTTCAACACAGTAACACAATTAGAAAGTCAATACAACTAACATTAAATTCCATAGAAGAAACAAAAGTAATTTTAACTTGACAATTAAAATAGCCTTAACACATGTACTAACACGTGTTTGAAATACAGATCCTGTCCCAATTTTATCTCTTGCTAACATAATATCATAGAGAACTGCAGCTAACTTCCAAATATGTCTCTGAAAATGTCCAGAACTAGCCTTCCAAATGAAGACTGTTCTTTTCAGTATTGGATTGATTTCTAGACCAGTCCATGTTTGAGTCTGAATAACTGGTCACATTTAAGAAAAAATACAAGAGTCATTATGATTTCTCTTTTTGATTCTCTTTTGCACAAGGTATTTGATACAAGAAGTTAAGACAGCTACTTTTGTTAATCATTTAGCAAAAATCTTACTAATGTGTTGAGTATATAAGAGGATTTAGATAGTTGTTTGAAACAATGGATTGATGCTCTTTATCCTATTCAAACTATTGGAAGGAGGTTCAGAGTTTAAGAGTCAGGAGTCATCTAGAGTGTCATGCCAAATACCAATGGAATTGTTTTACTTCTAAAATTTACAGTGATAGTCATTATAATTAGGATAAAGTTTAAAGACACTTGCAGGGTATTTGGCACAATTCTAATACCTCTCTGGATGTTTTAACTTTGCATAGTAAGCTTATGAATTTAAAGAATGCTGCTCTGCTGGGCGTCGATGTGGCAGATGCTGGTGATAAAATTACCCATGGCCTCAGGTCGGTATTTCCATTTTGGTCTAGCTTCAGAAATGGCACATATAGCTGGATCGTGCTAACCCTTTTTGTACTGGGAATACTTTTATCCCTGCACATCATGTTAAAGCTTGTCTTTAACAACATCAACATGTTGGCAGCCAAAGTACATGGCTTGAACCTGAAAATGAACCCCCAGACAGAATTATTAAATTAACAGGCTGGCAAGCCAAGAACGGATAAGATTCTGCATAGAGCCTTTTTAACCTAAGACATAAGTGCATTGCTTTTGATAATGCATGTTCCATGACAGATAAAGAAGGCATTTTTGTCAGAACAACCTAAGACAGGCTCAGTCTTGTTTATGAAATGAAAAAGGGGGAGAGGTGGAGAACCTTTGGGGCTGCTTGGTAAGAATCTGACACAGGTCAAGGACAAGGAAATGGTCTGCTTGGCAGGAATCTGCCATTGGCCAAGGACAAGGAAGTGGGCTTCAGGCAAGAAGCTGACATTAGGCTAGAACAAAGAAGTGACTTCAGGCAGGAATCTAAACATTGGGCTAGAACAAAGAAGTAGGCTTCAGACATGAAAATGACTTTGGGCTAGAACGAGGAAGTAGGTTCAGATATTTTGGTCATTCTGATAAGCCCTTAGAAATAGTGATCACTGAACTTTGTTTATTGCCTTGCTTGTTCTTTGACTATTTCTGTTTATTGTCTTGCTTGTTCCTTGACTATTTGCATCTCTTGTGCTGCTAGTTCCTCAACCTAGAACTGACCTTAAAACTTGCATGTAATTAAAATGGTATAAAAGAAAAAAGGAGGAGGGGGATGGGATAGGGGGTTTCTGTGGGGGGATGGGGAAAGGGGATGACATCTGAAATGTAAATACATACAATATCCAATAATAAAAAAATGGAATAAAATTTTATTGTATTTTTTTAAAAAAGAAGTTCATTTGACAGTTCATTCTGACTGAGAGAAAACATGACCACAGACATGGGTCTGTACTGGCTACCAGGCTTGGAATAATAGTGGAATCAGTGCCTTAGAAATAACCCAATTGGAAAATCTGGGGCAAGGAGCTGGGAAGGAGTATGAAAATGGAGCATATGTCCAAATGCATATGGTGTATGATGAAATTTGCATCTGCTGTGAATGCTTACTAATGGATTAGGTTTTACAAGTACAACGAGCTCCTTAAATTTTAGCCAAATTCCTTGTTTACTTGTCCTTCCTTGTCCCATATGACAAGAAAAAAATAGCCAGGTCAGCAGTGGTAGAAATTACAATATACTCAGAAATATAAGCCCTTGCTTGGTTATAGCTGCCACTGAGTGCACACTCTTACTGTAGGGGTCAGACATGGAACTGTTCCCTGAAGAAATCAGCACTATTCTAGTTTACAGAGGATGAATCTGGAAAATACAGGGTTTGGTTGTCATTAAAATGATCATATATTCTAAATGCATACATATCCTGCCTGTCCAGAATGACTTTACTGAAATTATCACCCATGAATTTGTAGAGTGTCTCGTGTACAGCCAGAAAGAAGCATTGATTTTGATAGAGGAACTTGTTTGATAGCAATGGAAGCACAGAGTGAGCCCAGATTCACAGAAGTCACTGATCTTACCCTGTTTCCTTCTCCATGTAGCATCTGCCTTAGAGGAGCATTTTAAAGACTGTTATGGCATTGGTTAGGTGTCAGTGCCTTGAGATCATGAGACTAGAATACTCTGCCAGGCAAAGTAGTTTCTTGAAATTAATATTTATTAATATGCATCATAAAACTTATACAGACTTTACCTGTCTGGGAGTCAGGCTGTAGAAATGAGAGGAGCATCACCCACTGCAGCCTGGTATTCACTAAAACAATTTTGCTTCTCATTTCCCATAGTTCTAATGCATAGCAGCTTTATTTCTTCTCAGTGCTTTTACCATGTAAGATAAGATATGG